TGAAACATTTTGAGGATGAATGTCAATTGTTCATTCTTTAGTTAACCTGGACACTATTCCCAATGTAAGAAACCAGCCGTTGTTCCTGCATAGTCTGCTTTGACTATTACCCATGAGGACAGAGGAACACATGGGAGTTTTTAACACAATTAACTCCTATGAATAGGGGCTATTACTGTTTGAAGATCCAGACAAGGGCAAAAGGAAGTAAGAGATGGAGCAAAGATGATGTAGGGATTGGTGAATGAATGGAGGAAAGGATTAAGGTGGAAAAACCTGATTGTGGCAAATTACAAGACAGAGAGTCAATTAAGGAAAGAAAAATCACCTGAAATCTTGCAGAGTGGATCGTTGCCTCGTCATTTCAGGAACATACTTTCTGAAAGGACATAAACATGCAATCAACATTTTATTGAATAAGAAGTACACTGGAAAAGAACACAATACTCACATTTATCTCTAGTTTCTCCAGCTCAGCCTCCATACACGAGTATCCAGGGAAAAATACTGTGCACTAAACAAACTCTGAAAGTGATCTTGATAATTACATCTTCTAAAGCCAGTAGTGTGACTATTTCACCTTCTAATTTCACTTCTCTCATTTACTTAACCTCGTATCCAACCAAACAAACAATCATGTGCGATGTGTCACCTGTCATCTGCTCTGCGAGGCTCCACATGTGCTGTGTAATTGTCAGCTGTTGTTACGACTGTTTATGACTATGTGATTTTCTTGTCCAAACTTCCATCTCATTTGAGTCAGTGGATACAGATTTTTGCATTATCTACACACGGATACATCTACATGATTTAGAATGGCACTGTGAATAAGACGTACACAACACAACTTTCCAGCATGACATCATTCTCCGAAGTTGCCAAAGAACACCATTGTTTGTTGGGTAAACTCTGCAGTTATTGGTCCTGCAGATAGGTGTAAAAGATAAAATGGGGTTAAAAGTCGTATGCATGCAAGTGTAAAAAACCCTAAAACTACTGGTTAAAAAGGGAAAAGTAGGCTACGGCTCAGTCAGCAGCTGGACACAGTTTGACAACAGGGAGCCATTAGCTGCAGAGCAACCCGGAGATGCCGTGTTGTAATGTGTTTGGCAGAATCCTTATGGCGTTGAATGCTGACTCACAAAGGGACCATTTCTGATTCTTTTTCACTGTTTTGCCAACATGCACATCTCTTATGTCATTTCAACCAACCAGTTTGAGTTGAGTTTGAGACATTAAACGTCACATAATTACTGATTCCTAGTTGCATCATTAAAAAACGTTCTGCTTTCCCATTAAGGCAAAGTAGCATCAAATAAAACCTGGTTAAAGGCTTTGTTTTTAAATGGCAGAGGCTTATCATGTACAGTTTCCACAAGTGTTTCCAGCACAAGCAGACTGTACGGCTGTACAGACGCATGCCCATAAAATTGAACTTACCTTCAGGGACTTACAGTGCATCTACCATCTGAGTCCACTTGTCCCAGAAAATGTAAAATGTCATTCTGTAGTGAACAAACACCATTGTCGTTGTCACGTTTCCCATTCTAATCTCTTGCTCTGAAGTTTAACCTACTTGATTTTCTAATGTGGAGTTGGATCGGTGTCCTCCCTTTGGGATTTTCTAACATAGTTCAGATGGAGTGACTCACCATTGAATTTCACTTCCTTGCTATTACTCATTGTTTGACAAATACAAATATATAAGCATCTTTTTATTTTCTTCTTCTCTCCCCTTTTTAACGATAATTATGGTCAAACAAATTGATCTAATTGAGATTAAAATTCTATTTTCCATGAGCAACTGGATAGTTCGGAAGAGTTTAGACTCACAACACTGTAATTGTTGCATATACAATGCATCCTCATTTTTGTTTTAAAATTATTCTAGTGGTGTTTGTGTCCTGGACCTGCAGTGTGTGTTTGTTCTGTTGTTTGTCTTTGAAATAGATACATTATTTTGTTTAATTGGGTCATCAATTCCTCCAATAAAAACACATAAAGTAGAATCCCAATGGGAAATAAAACAACAAACACATATTTACAAAAGGATTTCACTGGTTTATTTGGCACAATACAAAAGTGCTTTGACATAACACTGTTCTTTTGGCATAAATTTTGTCCCATTATCAAAAGTCACATAAAACGACATGAACACATAACCTATATATCTTAAAGGCACTGCACTTAACAAGATATTGTTGGTATTGTTCGATACAACATTGCAGTGGATGCCTGATCATTTTACATGTACTTTTGAATAGTACATATAACTGCAAGTACAAATCCTATATATAAAAACGATTTACATAAATACAGTAAAGTAAAAGCCACAGATCTGTCTCCACTTGCACTCAATAACTTACATCTATTGCATTTATCATTGCTGTTATTTCAAACAAAATCCACAGCTCAAAGTTTCACATTGTTTGGTCAGACACTAAATGTATTTCACTTTCTTATAAAAAATATGCATGAAAATAAAAGCTCTTTGGTAATTAAAAACAAATATAATATAACGTGTATAAAAGCATCAGAATTCAGAGGACACTGGCTACAGCAAAAAGGGCCAAAAGGCAGAAAATTCCAGCTTTGACTTAGTAGGGAAAATGTGCATGAAAGTAAAATAGTTCACTAAAACAAATATATAAATTACAAGAGACAATCAAACTATAATTGCATCCTGACCATTTGATGCAAGGCAAAAAAACAACCGCTGAGGTATTTTATCATGTTTAAGTCAAGCAACACATCAGCAACAGGATAGACACAAAAGTGCATCAGAAATTAAACTCATGTCTGATCCTGCTGCGTTACAAAAATGGGATATAATTCCCCCCAAACCCTGCTCCTTCTCTCCAGTGCCCGATTCACATTCCCATATAAGGTAGTAATAAAGGAGTTTTTCTCCACGTGGCACTTTGACAATGACTTCAGTTGGAAGGCACAGTATTGTTGCTTTGAAAGTGTCCGCCATGGTGATGGATTTATATACGCAAAAACATGTCAATTAGAAAAAATAAAAAAGTAATATTTTTCATTACTTTACGAAAACTATCTAGTCACTGTTTTTGCAAGTGACAGCAGCAAGACATGTATGCCATTCTCCTCTGGCCACATGGTCACATGAGAAGGCGGCGATTAGATCTACCCACCGTTCATGATTTTGAGATTTCACAATGTAAACGTAAGAACTGAAGTCATGCATTGTAGGAAGTTAGATGACATATTTAATTATACTAATCATTTACTCTGTGATGTTCTGGCATATGTGTTGCGTGTTTTCACATTTCATTGTGCACATTCAATGCGTGCAGGCTGATATAATAAATAACCTAAACCAAACCTAAACTGGAACAAAGGAACAGTGTTTCTTTCATCATTGTCTGAGTGAAAGGGAATATTATGTATTGGTAAAACCAATAAGCCCTGGTCTTACTGAGCCATTGCATTGTTTACTGTTTATGGCCTTCCTAGACTAGGAGACATATGTTTTTTCTGTGATACAAATATTACATCGTATACAGTTTCAGTCATTCAATAATTTAGTGCTTTGCAGTCACTACTTAATAAGGCCACTTAATAAGGCCACACCAAGAATCGACAATCAAAAGCTGTTAGCACCATGGCTTAGAAAGTTCTTTTAATAAGACAACATTGTAAAGAAGCTAGTGCTGTTTAATTGCCTGACATGTTCATCAGAGGTGACGCGAGAACGAGCCTCCTATTTTATCTGACGAAGGCGGAAGTCTACTGCCGAAACATGTCAGGTTATTAAGGAGTTTTAGCTTCTTTACATTTCTGTCTTATTAAAAGAACCCTCTAAGCCTTAAACATTAGGAGACATAATGAACTGTTAGCACCATGTTCCTGTAATAAAATGTACATCCAGTTATCACAGCAGCATCTTTAAAAAGACACATCTCATGTAGCGGCAAGATCTCTCTTTCAGTTAGATGTTCTCTGTTCAACGACATGTTGGTCACAATGGTGCAATGGAAGAAGATGTTGCCACTGGCTGAGCACAACCTCAATGGGCAAAATGTCTTCTAGTATGTTTGATGTAAAAAGACTGAGCCCAGTGAAATGACACATAAAGAGGTAGCTAAATATCATTAAGCCTAGCACTCTTGGTTGTCAAATATACTGAAAATACACTGTTCATAATATTTACAATATTTCTCCAAGCATTTTTAAATATGAAATGATAAATCCACAACAAATTCCAATTTTCCACCATAACACAATGTTGTGGCAATGATTTAACAAAATAGCAGCCTTTGCAATAATAATACATTTCAAGTTGTGTGATTTGCCCATTTTGGCGCACCTCAACCAATGTCTCCAGAGCAGCAAATACATCAACTATAAATTGTGACAGCAAAACTATGTATGTGGAGGATAGGTGTCATACATCCAACACCATGTCAAAGTGTGTCTCCTTCTTCCTTTTGCCACATTTGTTTATTAGTGCTGCGTACAATGTCAAAAGTATGACCCAGTAACTGGCATAGACCACTGCTCCTATGACTAAAACTAACTTCTCTGAGTCTGGGAAGGGCTTCTTAGTCTGTAGGATCACAGTGTAAATGATCCCAATGAAAAGGATGCTAAACCACACTGATATGGGGATCAGACCAATAAAGTTCACCACAATGGTTTTCCTTCCAGACGTCCCCCAACCAGACTTATTTATAGTTGCTATTGCAAACATCTTTGCCGGTAAGAGACTTGACATGTACAGTACAGAGTAAAATGACATGAACACCATCACAATGTTCCCTCGAAGGCAGCTGGCAAATGTAGATTTGATCAGTGCCACCGCCTGGACTATGAGAAGAAACAAAAGGATATTCCAGAGTCTTCCTTGGTAGAATAGCTGGATGGCTGTGGCAATAAGAAAGAAAGGGAAGAACCCTGTGATGACAGCTTCATACGTCATCCATAAATGGTGTTTGTGAAACCACATAGAATTGTAAAGCCACTCTCTGAAGTAGGACTTACTCCAGCGGGTCTGCTGGTTGAGCCATCGCAGGTACGTGATGGGTGTCTCTGTTAAGCACTTGGAGCGTGCCGTATACTTCGTGGCATACCCCAGACTGAGAACTCGATTTGTGAGGTGTCGGTCATCTCCAAAACTACAGTGGGATCCCATAAAGGTTTGATTGTACCAATCTTCCAGGAACTCGTGCAGGAGGGAGTTTCGATACATTCCCAAGGGCCCACTGATGCACTGCACACAGCCAAAGTAAGACTGACAGGCTCGCTCTATGTTGAAGGCCATCCAGTACCGAACACTGCTCAAGAAGGAAATCCATGACTCGTACTTGTTCAGGATCTAGACACACAATAGAAATCATACTTTAGAAAAGGTCATGACCTTGGCCAGGGGCTAATGTAATCACCAGGCTTTTTCTGTCTGCTTATAAACATAAACATATATTAACATCAGTCTACATTTTATAAGTGACTGTTTAAAACATTCACAGTGAAGCTCAAAAATGGGACAAGGAGAAAGAAAATACATTTTTTAAGTGATCAGGCTCACCGTCTGGATCTAGGAAGCTCTCAAAGGAGTGGACCTCTGCAAGACCTCTGCAAGCCCTCCTCTTAGCAGAGGTCTGTGCTTTACGAGTGTTATTTTGCAGATGATTAATGAGACTAGTGGATGGATTCCTGATCATGCGTAAGACACGTGGATTTTCATGTGAATTTACCTGCACATCTCCTCCAACACCTCCCACCATTGGATCCTCCTCCAAAACCTTCACCATCTCCACTGAGCAGGCTGGGTCCAGCATAGTGTCCGAGTCACACACCTGCAGAATAAACAAATATAATCAAAATGCAAGGGTAATTTATCCTCAACCTCCCAAGAACAGATGTATGATGAATACAATGTTGGATTCAAACCATGATCCTTAAATGGAAATCAAACAATGGTAATAAACCTCCACTCAATAAACCATCTACTAAATGTACTAATACATTGTTTTGATCACAGCAGCATAAGCAACAAGTCCAGGCTTAGTGTAATGGTCTTTGAAATCTTTATTGGCAATTACGTTTTCGGGCATGTTCCAAATAGGAACAGGTGGACAACAAAGATTTGTTTTGCTAAAGTAACTAGTTTCAGGAGTTCAAAAGAAAGTATCACTCCAACATATGTAAACAGCACTTCTGCCTTTCATCTAATCTTCAGCTTTTCATCTTATTACACTCAAACATAGCTACTGCAGCGTGTCTTCACACCACACTTCACAACACAATGCACACAGCCACTGTCCGTCTGAGGAAACACAAAAGATTCTTTGTGGACGGTGTGTTTGACTTGGCAGAGCAGCCTCTTCTTTCTACAAACCCAATGCTCTAACATTTCTTCCCCTATCATAAATCTTAAGCATACTATACTTCATTCGATACATATTATTGCACCTTTAGAGTGATTGTTTCTCTTCTTTACTGTGTTGTCTTTGCTTTGCATTTGTGTAAATGTTTACATACTTGAACAGTATCTATATTGATAGATTGACGCCAGTGTTATCTTGTTACTTTTCTTTTAACACAACAAAGTCGTTGTATCTTGTGCTCTTATCAACATTGCAGTAAGGCAATACTCAGATGAATATAGACCAATTTTGTCGTGCCAATAAAAGTGCCAATCCAGATAGATAGATAGATAGATACTTTATTGATCCTGAAGGAAATTGTGCACTGGTCCCTTGCTTGCAATCATACAAAGATACATACATAGGTTAGAATTAAAAGATGCAAAATAGTTAAAAAAGAGACAATAAATACATTAAAATCATTAAAAGAGAAGTTAAGGCACTGCAAAACAATTTTCCTCCTCCCCCCAGCTCCTCCCTGAAGTGGCTTTGTTATAGAGCCTGATGGCGTTGGGGACAAAAGAGTTTTTGAGCTTGTCCTTGGAGCACCTCAGAGAGAGGAGTTTGGAGCTCATGGTGCTTCTCTGTCGGGGAAAAAAATAATTTAGTGGGTGGACAAGATCACCCTGATCTTGGAGAGCGTTCTTTGCTCTACCACCTTCTCCACTGAATCCAGACCCAGACCCACCACAGAGCCCGCCTTTCTAATGAGCCGGTTCAGCCTCTCAGTGTCCCTATTTCTTGCACTGCACCCCCAATAGACAACAGGATAAAAAAGGACACTAGACACAACAGACTGACAAAACATGTAGAAGCTCATCACAGACCCTGAAAGATGCCAATCGCCTCAAAAAGTCCATCCAAAAAGATGTGTACATTCTAACTATAAAAGAAAAGTTAAGGAAAGCAGTTGGCTATCTCAGTGTTTTTATGTCCTTACCTGCACATAGTCGACACTCCGGCCCAGTGCCTTGAATGGAGTGTACATGACCTCTCTCTTGCCTCCCCACTTCTGCATGATGCAGACACACTTGTTGTTGAGGATTATCCTGGAGATCTGCTGCAGGCTCTCAGCGTAGCTCTCTGCCGTCTCACCTGCTCCTTTTGAGTGAAAATTACTCTTCCAAACATATGTGGCCGATTTATCCCAGCCCATAATTTCCTTGAATATCTCCATCATGTACAAATCATCATCGTTGTTCCCATCAATGACCATGATAATTTTGATTCCGGGATATGTCAATCGTTTGACTGATACAAGGCATTTCCGAAGATAGTTGGGGTCTTCTTGATATGCAGCAATGCACAGTGCTAATGATTTATTTAGTTTGATTGGTGTCTCCAAAGATCTCCTCATGTTTCTGTGCTCTAGCAGTGCAAACAGACTCTGGATAATGAGATGAACCACCAAGATGGCACCGTATAAGCCAAAAGATAAGTGATTGTGTGCTGTGGTGAAGAACTGGTAACCCATAATGTAAGCGGTGGAGATGCCCACGAGAAGGGACACGCCGAACAAAGTAGTCCCGAATATCCGCAGGTACGTCATCCATTTATGACAATTCATCTGCAACATGAGAAAAAGAGGTTTTGATTAGAAGAGGTCAGAACAAATAAGTAAGCAATAGCCAAAACCATTAGCAGTATAGCCCTTTTCTGTGAAAGACTATAGCACAGCATGATTTGAATTTTTATGAGTCTAACATTTGGATTTGGAATTACAGAAAATGTATAGAAGAAATAGACAGTGAAATAGATGTTCTAGTTTCCATGCGACAGAGACTTCCTTTATTTCCAATGCCCAGGTAAAGAAACCCCCCACCTCTTTACCTCTCGACAGCCCCCTTCTTCCTCTCCCCAAATCTCACTCTAAATGTCAGACACTTGTGAGAAGCCGATTGTTCTCCTCTAGTTCCTGTGTGGGCCAAATTACATGATTTCTTGACCTAATTAACCAACAAAATACTTTCCCATGCCAGGCTTTCAAACCGACCCAAGTGGTCAAGATAAACACAACAACATTTATTCAAAATATGTCTTTTTCTAGTTTTTGTTAAACTAAATCAAAAACTCCAGTTTGTTTCCAGGCCTCATTATGTTGCTACCGCCATCTGTTTGGCAGACCCATGAAGACCCACTCTGAGTGGCTCAGCGCAGAGCGGACCACCCTGTGATGTCATCTGTTTATATCTTCGTGGGAAGAGCTGGACTTTTGACTTTGGGACTCAAAATGCTTTGTGTCTTTCTTCTATCAAAGACAATGCAATAGGAATTCATTTTTAAAAGTTGTAATTTGAGAGTAAGTGTCAGTAAGGGTCTAGTTGACGTCATAATTTCAGCCACACGTTTTATGTCGTTTTCAGGAAATGTGAGCCAAGGTGATGAGGGAAATCCATGCAGCCATCAAAAGAGGAGTGCGCAAAGACCAGAAGTGGATGTGATTTGGCACAAGTCGACTGCACCACACCTACAGGCACAAGACAGATGGAGGGAGGGATCAAGAAATACACAGACAGAAAGGAATTTTGCAGATGATTGATAAAAGAGGTATCATAGGAAAAGCAGTAATCCACAAAACAAATTAAAAGACAGACATAAGACAGGGTGCTAAGACACTCAACACGCGGCTGCATCTAACTCATTTGATCTCCACATGAGAACGTTTCTGGGAGGGAAGTGGCCTTTTTCTGGCACGTGGCGCAGCTCTGAGCCTCAGCTGCTGGTTTACAGGGCCCTAGAAACAAGCTGTTCACTGACTACAGTAAACATAAGCACAAGCACAGCATAGCCAGAGAAAGAGGTGTTTGTGTAAATCACCTCCAGGAGATCCTCCAGTGCCAATGTGGGCCACTGTGTATGTTGCTTTTTACAGCTAAATGAGGAAGCCAGTCAGCAATTCTTTCAAAAGAATGAATAGACCAGTTAACCATTAAGGTATTCAAATAGAGATTTCACTAATCTTTTGGTGAGATGCACTTTCAAAAACACTGTATACAGTATTAGTTTGAATAAATGATATATCTGAAATATAGATTATATACAAATATAGTATTTCAGGGATTGGTTGCTCTCATAACAACACATGGATTTTTGTAAAACACATTGAAGAAATATCTTAATACATCTTACATATTTCATTCAGATTAGAAGCCTTCACTAAAAAAGTTCCGTTTGAAATGAGTACCATTAATGAAACCCATAGTCTATCTAATTTAATCATCAAATCAAATCTGAAATGGAGTCACCAGTTTTTCATTTCAAATAATAACGTTGACATTTTTCTCTCCGCCTCACAACCTAAAATCTCCCTGAATATTTGTCAATACAGTGATTCAAAACAAACATTGCATCTGCGTGTAGAAGTGTCTTAGTTCGTCATAGGCAGAATCTCATACATCATTTTGGCCGTGTGATTACACACAAAAAGGTCAGACGCAAGTAATTAACTTTAGTCTGTGGCTAGATTAACAACAGATGGATGGGCTGGGTCATTTCTGCAATGGACTGATACAATTATTACATACAAACTCTGCAGGATCTTTTAACCGCAGTAAACCGAAGTTGGTCAATCACTGTCCCTTTGACAACTGCTACACTTTCAGAGTCATTCAGTGCTCAGGAGACACTCACAATAACTATTTTTTACATATTCATCTGTTTCAGCACTTTTGTTAAGGCTGGGTAGATTCTTTTTTTTTATCGCTCATTTTGTCAAATGCATTGCACTTAGTTAATTTAACAGTGGCATCTTGATTGAAACATACTGTATATATCTCTTGAGCCATGTTGTAGGTCGCTGTATCGGACTGTTGAGGTCAGGAGGGAACCTACCAATTTACCATGGATCTATAATAATAACTGGATAGGGTATCACTAGCTTTTAGCTGTCAGACCAATGGGCACAGGGGTACTGCAAACTAAATTCACAAGAGTTACCAAGAAAAAAGTCCTATAGAACTCAATGTAAACTAAACCAGCTCAACCTCAGCTGACAGAGAGCCTACAGCTTTTATAAAGATCGGATTTTGTGGGGATTTTCGTTTCCCTTGTCATTCTGAACTTTTTTTCTCCTTATATCGTTCGGTTTTCTTTAAATCCACAGTTTACTACAACAAACTCTTCTGTTTTTCCTTCCCGCTCTGACTCTGCTCTACCGCGGCTCTGATCTTGGTCAAAATAAGGCCGAGCCCCTCTCTGCACGTGCATGAAAGCCGCACACGCATATTTGGCGCAATGCATCATGGGAGCTCGTCCACTGCGCAGAACCGGGAGGACCAGACGATGCCCAAATATATACGAGTTCCGCTAATCTTTCGGCCCCCGAAAGCCCCATGCGCTACTGAGCACAAGCCATTCATTTGAATAGGACGCCATCTTGGATCGCCGGGGCTTGCAAATTATCCTCAATCTACGCTCTCACCTTTGGTCTCAAACTGTGATTATTTTGACCAGATTAGAGTGTAGAGTTTCATTCACATGGAAGGAGCTGAGACTACAGCCACTTCTCCATATCAAGAAAAGCCAGTTCCGTGCATGTCCCACCGGAAAGAGCTGGCTTGGGAACACCTCGGGATTCTCCTGAGATTCTCATGGATTTAGCTTTTTTTTCAGATTAATATGGAAATCCACCACCTAGCTTAGATAATTAGTAAAATAATAATTCTTTGTTTTTGTTTGTTTAAGACAGAAGGACGCCTGCAGCAGCAGTCAAGACCAATCATGTTATGGCAACAAACAAAAAACACTGGTGTGATTGAAGAAGGATCAAGAGAAGACCAAACTCATCTTTTTGGAATGGTATCTTTGGAAAATGACTAAAGACTATTGTCATTGACTGAATACATTAATATTTTTTCTGAAATGAAGCACATTCAGTAAAAAAATAAATAAAAATTGATACACTCGCACCGTTTTCACATGGCTATTGGGGGAAATGATTTAGTACCAGCAGGGGAATAGCCCCATGCTGTAATACCCTAAAGTAAGTTATATAAGTGGGGATAGTTGTCAGATATACTACTGCTTGAAACATACACTGTTAAGTTTTTCCTGTTGCCATGTGTTGTTTGTGTGTCCCACTGGCTGAAGGTAATCTGTGAGTGTGTGTTTTGTGTGAGGAAAAGACACAGGAGAGCATGAATCTCTGTCAGAATGGGTCCCACGCAGCTCAAACCTGAGATGGAACATAAAATATTACAAGGCTTAGTGCCAGACTGTGAATGAATGTATACATTAAATGTGCTATATGTGAATATGTGATCCATTACTGAATGTTCTGCACAGGCTGTATGTATCTGAAGCACAGCCAAAAAAGACAGCCGCTGGAGTTAAGATAACAAAAAGCCTACCTTAAGATATTGTGAGTCAGCAGACATTGGCTATAAGAATAACACTTAGGTGCATTGGTGAGAAAAGGGACAGGCCACACTTTTGTGTGTATACTGTAACACTTTCGTTTTTTGTTATATGCATATGATTTAAGATACTTTTGTCCACTGATTTAATGGAAATGATATTCACATTACAACTTGTAGTATTTGATTTTTATTTTTTGCTGATATGTGTTTGTCATTTTATTTGTCATATAAGTGGTTTGAAAGGGTATTCATAACCCAAGAAAGGTTACACTTTCTGTTGCATCACAACCACAAGTATTTATCTTAATCTTTTATGTGAAAAAAACACGTCCAATTACATCTTCAGCTTTTCTTCCTAGATTGTCTTCTTCCCTGTCCCTGCTGAAGATAAGCAGCACCGTGCTGGACAGAATCTGCGAGGCGACCTATGGTGACTATTCACACTATAGTAGAAGAGTGAGTCTTCTTTTTCTTATGGAAAATGACGCTTCAGCCTATTTTATTTTCTTACTTATGCAAAATATCCCACTGATAGCGCTGTAGTGTAGTAATCATTGATAAAAGGCCTGTTTTAAATACTTTGTTGCTGAAATTGCTGCGCTTCTTCAGCCAATTTTTTTTTTCCATTTTTGGATTTCAAAGCGACTGAAAGATCCGTGATCAGTGATGTCGAGCTATTAGTTTGGACAGATGGTTGTGTCTTGGTAGATTTGCAGTTGTGCCATAATCAAATCTCTGGAAACCACTGTTTGTGGTTGTGATATGACAACCACAAACAACATAACAAGGGCTAGGAAGACGTTTTCAAGCCAATGTTAAGCAAATACTGAAAGTAAAAGATAAAGCATTTATTTTTACGTTATTTAATTGAAATAAAATGTGTTCCACTTTTCTTAGCATTTCAAAAAATCACATTGATGTGTATTGATGACATCAACTCAATTGAAAAAAAGATAAGTATCAATTTCATTGGTGCCATTTTTACGGTACCTCAAATAATCAATACCAGTCAACACATGACACAAGATGTAATGTAGACATTTGACCCACTTCTACATGTTTCAATGCTGTGTGCAAAGGCTGGTGGGTGTGTGCCTGGGTGTCTGGGCTGGTCTGAATGAGCATGTGTTGAAGCTCTTGTGACGGCTGTAGAGTGGGAGCAGAGAGAGAGAGAGCGATCTGAATTTTCCCAGATGAGAGGAGGAGGATTGACCAAAGATTGTGCCGAACACGTCCCAATTATTATTAAAGGATTGCAGTGTGATATTTTATCAATGAACAGTGTCATGAGTGAGTGTGACACATGTTGTGGGTGTGTGAGAGTTTATTTGTGGTCTCAGCTGTGCAGGTGTGAGCAACTGGAGGAGCACAGAAGTTGTTATGACATGTGGCTCTTTGTTTTGATATGACTGTAGTTATTTTGCTTTAGTAGAGTCCAATAAAGTTGCATTGAGTGTTCCTTTGTCAAGGGTCTCCAACCTTTATCCCTGGCGCTAAAGTAGCCCCCAAAGGAATTAGAAATTGAAAATAATAAGAAGAAGGTCCGTCATTCGTCCCACAATGGGGAAATTTCAGTTTGATGCATACACATACACATCAAGGCAAGCAGCGAACATCACTTCCGCACTCCTTATAGGCAAAGTGGGTTAAGTGTTTTGCCCAAGGACACAACGACAGCAGACATCAGTGGGAGTCGATGGAGAAGGTCTTGTGGTGGGCTCGAACCCACGACCTTTGGGCCCACAGGCCAATGCTGAGCCACCACCAAAGAGGACCCCATTATTTATACTGGGCTTGGTCAGGACAAGCAAATGTGGTTGGGAATGAATGATCTTTATAAGTCCCACAGTGGGGAAATGAGCTTGATGAAAAAACATCAAGACGTGCAGAGGACCTTGTCCATGTTCGTTTGTGATGATTAAGAACAGCAGAGAGCACATACATACGTTTCACAAAGGCATGTTAGATAAACATGTTCAATGTGAAAACCGGAGGGCTCGGAGGAAACCCACCCAGACCCCGGAAGAATCATGAGAGGTGACACAGAAAGGCCCATGCAGACACAGAGTCAAACCCACAACCTTCTTGCTGTGAAGCATGTATGAATGCATGAATAAATATGTTGACGTCAAAGGTCAAAACAAAGAAAAACATGTAATACTTTCCCTGGCCGAGTACCACAATGAAATGTTACACTGTGAATGAACTAAAGGTCATGTCAGTAATAAAAAGAAGTCACTGCATCTCGTCACTCGAACTCTTCCCCCAGCCCTCGTCTCATAAACCCCTCAATGGGCACAGTAAGCTGCTGTCATTATAAGAACCAGAGCCGAACAGCAAACACCACCCACAGAGACGTAACGCACTACCTTTTTACATGATTGAAATCAGGTGGACCCGGCTGCCACTGGCAAAGCATGACTGCAAAACACACACATGATGTTATTTATTTTCTCATGTTGAGAAAATGGACCAGCCAGAGGGTCCTGAGACATACTGCCAGTATCAAGACAGGAGATAGACAAGAACAGCATCTAGCATGTACTCACTCCTGAATTTGTAATGACTACATTCAAATAAACAATACATATAAATAAACAAATATAAACTAGTCCAGTTTAGGGTTGCAAAAAGTTCTCTATATAATGTGACATTTCTAAGCCAGGATCAAGTTGGAATAAAATCTAAAGTTACGATATATGCAAGTCCCAAAGGGGGCAGAGTGGAACATGATTGAAAATCTGTTCTTCATTGTGCATAATATAGCCTTGTGTTTCACCTCAGCCTTTTACCACTGGAGTTGCATCACTGCTTTTGTTGCTCTGCAGGGTGAATCTGTGCTTCATCATTTCATATCCCCTATTTGATTTCAGGGCCAAGGTTTTCTGTTAGGTATCTTGACAAAACCTTCTGTTGTATACGAATGACTCAAAGATACGAGAAGAAATCACAGAAGGAGATAGTCTGCTGCAACTGTGAGTCTGATATCAAAGGTAGAGCTGGATGAATGAGGGTAACATGGTAGACTTCAAGAGGAAAGGAAACTGGATGCCTGGCATTGGTTTGGCTCATGTCACAGGCAGCTGAGGCATTGGAGGTGTTTTTATACAGTAGCATGTACCAACAGGAAACCAATTTGTGGATGTAGCATTTCTCTTGGAACTACTTATCAATGAGCGTAACAATCTCTGCTTTACCAGACCGTCGTCTACTGATCTAACCCAGTACTTGACAAAGACTATACATAGCAGTTAGTTATCATGTCTCAAGAGATAAGAGATAGTGCAGAAAATAACACACATTAAGCAGATAATAGCAAGAAGTGTTCAGGACAAGCTTGCATTAAACATGGTACAATGTGATTATATAGTTGCAAGCTTTACATGAAAGCCATATGACATCAGTTCTAAGCAGGTTTTCTACATGTTTTAATAATTGGACAAACTAGGGGAAATTGCAAATAATAACAATGGCAATGAGTATACATGCAGTGATTTGCTGAGCTTTGTATCAAGTCCCTTTGGTCTCTGGACTTCAGTAGCTGGCCTGGTAACCCTGGGGCCTCTAAACTGACGGAGTCTTGCTGTGAGGAGTAATGGCACATGAGACTGCTTGTGGGTCCTAATGGGGACCAGCTAAGGAATGCCTGTTTTTGGTAAGTAGTAAACTGGTCCATGTCTAATGCTACAAAACCATCAAGGCCACATCTGCATCTGGATGACTCTGCACATCTCTTTATGCGTCACCACTAGAAGTCTCACTCACAGGAAATGAAATCACTTTCACGATTAGTGCAATTGACTACTTTTCTTCTTCAATAGGAGTCATGACAAGGGCAGTGATGCTCAGACCGTATCATGCCCATGCCACTCAGATATCTATGGTAAATCATGGAGTTTGTTATGAATAAATGGCCCTGGATCGGATGTGTAGAATGGAAAACTGAATTTACATCAAGAAATAAATGTCATGGATTCCCAGACATCCAACTCACAGATGAGCATTCCTTATGTGGGTTTTATCTGAGGAAACAGTGGTATCTGAGAGAGGCGGATGAAGAAAGCATGACAGAAAGAAAGCAGTGTGACAGATGGCAATTTGCATTTATATGGGTATTCGTTACCGGGTGCAAGCAAATGGCAAGGTCGGTGGTCTGACATTTTTGAAGGGACACATGTTCCGTGGTGTGAATCAAGTGGGACTAAACAATTCTCAAAAGAATCACCGCAGACTCGGTCCCATTGTGATAGGCTATTCTAGTGAGACAGCGCACTACTTTTAAATGCAAGGTGTAGAGGAAGAGATTTTAGGTTAAAATACGCGCTACTACCACGATGTAAGCGTTGGTCAACTCCACGGAGCTTATTGGATGAGAGCACAACGACGTCGGCATTGAACGTCATAGCATTATTCATGGTAAAATAATATTGTAGGATGTAGAGGGATAATTAGGCAGGTAATAATTGTGTATTATAATCATAGTTACGCATTGTCATGAATAAGGTTATTATTTACAATTATTTTCATTTGTAATATTATTCGAAAGAAATATAACAATTACACACGCTTTGCACAAATCAGACACTCTCAAGAAAAGTCATCCTTCTATATTATGGTCATATCCACTTTTTTTCTCTAAGATATTATTCCTAGCCCCAGAAATGCTTACCTTGATCAGAGGCTGCTCGTCCCACTCAACGATGCGTCAAATCCAGTTGCGGTTGTACCAGTCCACACGTGAAAAGATATCTGGACCTGAAGGTTTGCTGTATGTCTCAGGAATCCTCTGACAAGAATCCTATATATTTCACTGCTTTGTCCGGTGTAACACTTGCTAAAGTGTCCATTTTGGTTAAAAGGAGGCGTGTCAAGGCAACTTAAGTGATTCTCATAAAAAATGCAGCAGCAGGCAAATATAAAAGTTTTTGATATAAAATTAAAAAAAATAAACAAAACAATAAAAAGTTGAATGTGCCAGTGTCTATGTCTAATGGATGTCAGGTCAGCATTATCTTGAGGCTTCAAACAGCTCCTATAAGCATCCAGGCCAGCCAGCATGTAAAGTGGTGAGCAGAAGTGTTCAGTTGTCTAATTTCTTCCAGACGCTTGTGTGTGGAACCTCCTTTACGGCTGCTGTGGCTCCTAAAGCCCTTTACCGGCCTACAACAGATTGGCGTGTTGTTTTAATAAGAGGGGAAGGTTTGAGGGCGCACTAGGAGGAGCAAAGGCAGAGGAAAAAGAGGGGGACTATCTCCTCCAACTCATTCAAACTCCGAGCGAAACAGAGACGCGCCTGCTGCTGCTCCTGCTGCTGCTCCTGCTGCTGCTGTTTGGAGAAGCGCACTGCAATGAAGATGTCTGACTTGTACCCCGAGAATAAAAAAAAAAAGAAAAACGGCCCCTCTGTATCACCAGCTCTGAATTGACATCTGAAGTATATTCGGGGATTTAAAGATGAATGTCTCACACACATCACACACGATGAAATATCATGGGGAGAGATGAGTTGTTGCAGTAAAAAATAAACTAAATACGGAAATCCATTATGCTTGATGAAACAGGTGGATATCATAACATAATAAATGAATAATCTACATGTAGTTAGCGGCTCATACCACCAGGTGTTGCTGTCTGATGAAGGGAGGATGTGAATTGATCTCCAGCTGGATGGAGGGGATGATGAGATCCACATCAGCACCATATCAGCACAGACAGGCTTTTGACGCGACCATTCCAATTACTAGTCCACTACAACAACTACTAATACTAATACTAATGATGATGATGATGATGATGATGATAATAATAATAATAATAATAATAATAATGATAATAATGATAATAATAGAAGTAATAATGTAATATTAATATCAATAGTACTCAGAGGAAGATGCTGATAATAAGTCTGCCGGTTTTACAGTACAGCAGGACACGGAGCCTGCTGGAAAACCCCTAAGGACTTTGTGGTGTTTATCTGTGATAGAGAAAAAGTATTCTGTTTCCAAGTTGCAGTAGGTCAGTGTGCCAGGTCCGAGGCAGCGACATTAAAGTGTCTCTGGGGTCTATACTGTTGAAGACTCCTCGTATACTTTTCTGTTTACGTTTGTACCATGGCACTGACTGATTTCCCCTTATATTTATTTTCTCTACAAAATATACTATTATTTATCTTCCTATGGAGTTACGTTATTACCCTGTGTAAATACAGATGATGTATGACTCAAACGGTATATTTGATTTTGATAGTTTGAATGACTAAAACGGTGGTCATCCAAAGGCCACTACAAAGACAAATTAAACTGAAAGTATTGCATTAATAAACATTGATAGAAAAGATTGGCAGGTCAACCCTAAGATGATAAGATTAAGGGTCACTAGATTAATAAATTAGATCATAAACCATGAAGAAATTGTGCAGTTGTTCAAGGAAATATATGTTGAGTAACCTTTTTTCTTCTTATTACATTTTTGCAATATTGGAGGAAACAATAAATGGAAAGGCAAACTTGAAGAATTATTAGTTTATTGTATCATTTCAAAGATATAGCATATTCTATACAATATTTTTCAAAATGAGTCTCTGAATCAAACAGTTCTGTCAGCTCCATGTTTTTACTTTTACACTTTGTTTTACATGACATATTGGTAAAACACAGACTGAAAATGTCCATCATTGTGAAATTCCGCAGGCAGACAAATCAGTGCACAGAGGGAATAAACTGGGTAATTATCCTGGGAGGTATATGGCTAGCAGTAGGCAAATGTTCATAAAATGTCAAGCTGTCACTCTTTTGTTGTTTTAGCGTTGGATCGCTCGCTGGAAGGGGGCTGCCTCCTCCATTATAAACCTCACTAATGTAACATAAAATTGGCAAATCCATGTAAAAAGCATTCATCTATATCCGTGTTTATTGTTTGTAGAACACGGTTAGCTATGTTTTAGGAAATAAATACAATGAGAATCATAATGAGTAACTTGAAAACTTCTTGGGTCAGTTCTCTACAACATTTGCCAAAGGTTCCTTTCACTAAGAAGTATGATAATATTGACACGCATGGCACACTATTAAACACTTAAACACTATTCCACTTTGATGTCACTTCCAACAGCTCTGCAGACAGACTCAGATGAATGAAACTCCCACTGTTAGATTGACGCAGTACTTTTCACTGGTACTCCTTACATCATGTTCAAACGAGATCAGCGCCTCTATTTAGGGCTGTACACTTCAGATTCAAAATGCCCACAGCGATTGTAAGAGTTGCAGTGAACAATATTTGCAGGGGCATCACTCCAACAGTCCACACATGCGCTCCCTGCACACATCGATTTCTGAAAATAGAATCCATCCACACATATTGCTGCAAATATTTAAATATTTTAGATACACAGAACGCAGTTAATGAGTTCGTTCAGTTCAAGAGGCAGATATTTCCCTTATGAAGTAGTCCAGACTCTGAAACATTGATAATTTGTGTGCATTCACATTTACTCATGAAAACCTTGTGTTTGCCCTGATCAGCAGCATAGACATAACATACAAGCCGCCTGAGCAAAAATATGTTGCTTTAGACCTGTCCTAAATAATCAGAGGTCCAGCTCTCGTTTGAACTGTGCCTCCATTGATAAAGGCGGAGCCAGAGGTGCACACTTGAGCAGCAGTGGGGTCACAGTCTGACAATATGCAAGCCTACAGGACCCCCTAACAGAGCTGAGCTGCCTGGGAAGTAGAAACAAATGTGTTACACCTAGTGATGTGGCGATCCAAATCAGGAAGGAAACAGCTTTCACACATGAGAGTAGAGCCTGGTAAGCTAAACTATGTGAGTCCTGAAGGCTGAAAATGAAACCTACAGCAAGTTTGAAACCTCAATAATCACAAAATGCTTTAACCAACTGGCCTCAGTGTCATAGATCTGCTGGTAGTTTGCAAAACCAGAACACTGTTGAAGGGTTACGGGACTGGACGAAAGGAATGAAAGCTTTGCCCTGTTTGACTTTTCAAAATCAACAACAACAGACATTTAAGCTTTGGTCTTGTTGATTCTAAACTTCTTTGAGAGTTTATGAAAGCGTATAGTAGGCTCTATATGACCGTTTGTGTGCATTAGACCTGATAATATACATCCATGGCCATGGGCCCATGGCATTAGATTGATGGCATATGACGGAGCTCCCCCCAGCCCACAAAGCATGTCGGATAAACATTTTGGTCACATGAGTTTTCTAAGCTTTGAACTGAACTTTTTGAATCTCCTTCACATGCTGCTGTTTGTCTGAAGTGTGATGTCAAAATCTCCATATGGTTACCATTGGACTGAAGTGAAAATGCCACACTATTAAATGTTGAATTAGAATTATATTTTATCTGACTTAAATCCTTATGTTTATTGAAACCACTCTTATATTATTCCTTAATTACAAATGTGATATATAGTTGAGAACTTTTATTGTAGCCATCATCACTGGTTGTTTTTAACAGAACAGCCCTGCACTTGGCCTGTAGGTTTAAATAGGGTCATGTATAAAAGTGTTAGTCAGTGGCACAGGCCTGGATGAAGCAGTAAGTTAATGGGTGGGAGGTAAGAGTTTAGGCTTTGCTTAACCGCAGACGCAAATTAGTCCCAGGGTGTGGTTTCAAGGCGTGAAGTCATGTTTCTCAACTGCTCCGTTACCGGGCCACCAGAAAGATCCTGATTGGATGTGGACATGGATTGATGCCAACCCTATGCAGGCTCACAAAAAGTCATTTGATCCCGTTTGGGACAAGCCCTAGAAACAGTATAGAAATGCAAGAAAATATGCAATAACATTTGAGTCCTTGTTGATACAAAACGACTTTATCCAGTAATTGAAGTTAAATTGGTACCATGTGTACGCCCTTTTATATGATATAATTGGATGGTTTTCACTAGGATTCTCTGGAGGCCGGTATGTTATTGTGATTTGCCCAAATTTGCGTAAAAGTCCTTGCATTGCTCCTGCACCAATCAACCCCTCATCAGCAGAGAAAATATTCATCTCAATCAGCTATTTTCTTTCATTAAGTGGCCATTTAATATGGAAGGTGCAGATTTGGAAGATAGAAAGCAAATCAATGTTTTTACTCACAAAACCTAGCAAAGCAATTATGATGGTTCTCAGAATATGGTGAAAATACACTTCTCGAGGTTATCTGCAATTCACGGCACTTCCATTACTGCTCTAAACTTTAAGTCGATTCTTTACTTTCACTGTTTAGAAAAGGTATGTATCTGCTGTAATCTAGTGGAACAAACAAGGTTTATGCAGCTCTTTAGAAATTATAAAGTTGATCAGGCATCTGATGAAACAAACATGCAGCAGAGTACAGCTCTCCGAGGAGAGCAAAAGGATTTGAGTAAAACGTCTTGATTTTGGGGGGAAGAGCGAGGACTAAGCTGTGGAGATGGTACTGGTGTTGATTTGTGCTCAGAGGGGAGTTGTGAGGAACAATCGGGGAGTGTTTTCAACGATGGAAACAAGGTCTGGACTAAAAAGACCCAGCCCTTTCTTGTTATGGTGCAGTTACTATAGAAACTTAAAATCCCTGTCCACCGTGAAGAAGTAAAGGGGTAATTTTCAAGTTTGTGAGGATGAAACACAGCTCATGGTTGAGTGAAATGTAATTCAAAGATACACATTCATATTAAACAAAACCTTACTTATATTACTGAAAGGATTGCAGTCATGTGAGATTCTGTAAGTGTTACCTCATTGGTATATGATGAGACTATACCTGCTCGTCCTGGCCTGATCCCATGAGATCTCAGAAGCTAAGAAATGTGGAGCCTGGTTAGTAAATGTGATGGGGGACCTCGTAGAGTGTAAAGAGCAAAACATTGCATGAATCTGGACACTCGATGTGGGAATGGTTCAAGAGATACCTCAAAAACAGTGAAAAAAATCCGCACAGCTATGTAGCTCCCAGTCAGTGTATTTCACCAAAACATGATACGTTTCGGGCCGAGGCCCTTCGTCATGTCTGACGAAACGTAACGTGTTTTGGTGTGTAAATAAAATACACTGACTGGGAGCTTCATAGCTGTGCAGAATTTTTTCACTGTTTTTACGTCTTACATTTTTTAAATCCAGCACGCTAGCTCAAACTACAGGGATGTGCGGCCTTATTTGAAACTTTCAAGAGATACCTCAGCAATAGTTTCTCTTGAACTTTTGTCCTACAAAGTTTGCCTAAAGTGCGGAAATCTGCAATGTTCCATTCTCTATCCACAATATACAATTATGGTTTGTATATTGTATTGTTTTGATAAAACAATACTTTCATTATTTATTTGAATAATATTAGTACTGCACAAATGGAGTGGGCTCAAGTAAAAAGCTTATACAATATAAACCACTATTGTGTTGGACACCACCAATAAGAAGGTCCTGGATGGGTCCTGGATGGGTCCTGGATGGGTCCTGGATGGGTCCTTTGAGGCTGCACTGCGGTGACCACTGACTCTAGACTTTTGTATGTGTCTCTATTTGTTAAATGTCTTCTTATGATTTGTTTTGTTGGTCTGTCTGTGTTGAGTAGGTCATTGACTTGTATTTACATGTTTGTATGAAATGTGCGATGTAATAAAATCTCCTTCCTTCCTCCTTCCTTGCATCTCTGTGCATGGAGTGATTGAATAATGAAATGTAGAGTCTTCTTGGATGTCCAAAAAAGTGTTATAGAACTCAGAATCAGTACCTGATCTTCAAACCACAAACCGTGGGAAGTATTGAAACCCAAATTCAAATCCAAAGTCAGTTTTCCAAAATCAGTAGAAGGAAAAGTGAAGCAGAGATAACCCTTCCTCACTCAAAGCGTCATAATAGATTAGATCAAATGTTTCTAACGAGACAAAAACAGAACGTTATAGTTACCAGGCTTTTCTGTAGGGATAAAAACATGTATTATTTAGATAACAGGTTGTATTACGCCAAATACAAGTGCATTGTAAAATGTATTAACTCCTTTCATCTTGTTTCGTTCAGTCTACCACCTACTGACTCTGTCAGTCTGCCCCTCAGTGGGTAATTCGAGGTCATCCAGACTTTAGGGCCCCTCAACCTGTGTGAACCAAAGAGTTGACACACATTCAATCACCGTGCCCCGTTCAGAGGACAATGAAGCATTAACCACAGAACACATGGAAACCCTGAAAGACATCATTACAGGCCAAAGGAGCACACGTCCCCTTCCTGCGTTCTAAGATGTACTGACACTACTTTATACCTGAGAGGTAGAGATTCTGACTGCAGGTATATGAATAAACTTATGGTATGGAAGATTCTTATTGGTATTTTCTGCAAGTGATGGTTAATATGCTTGTCATTAATGGACCAAAGACTCTTTTTACTTATAAATAAAGATTACTTACTTACTTACTTACTTTTACTGTTTGAAATGTTACTCCTCTACTGAATAATGGAAACCTGGTACTGCATGGCCAAACTGTAATCTTATTAATGACGGTTTCCCAAAACACTGCACCGTAATTACAATCTATGGGATGTTACAGAAATATTAACCTTTGATGTCTACATTTGGACATTTGGGAGGTCATTAAGGACCAGAGCTGAGTGCTGAATGACATCTCACACATACAATTCTAATCACTTGCACGCACACGCTATTCATCGGAGGACTGGGCCACTTTATGGGGACAGTGCAAACATATGAAACCAAAAGACTGTATAGCAGCTTTCCTTCTCCTCAAGTTTATGTTGGCCATAGAGGGTTACTCCAATTTTTGCGATATGATACCAATCCTGTCTTTGTATTCAGATGCATTTCTCTCCAAAATTAAGAAATGTACCATATAGCGTAAATTTGCTATCATTAATTTAGTCCCACATGTGTATAGTACATAAAAAATATAATATACACATGTAATTTATTATCATTACATTCATTTATTATCATTGTATTAAAATACAAAATTCCACATCATTTAAAGTTAATCTTAATCTTGTACATGAATCTGAAGATACATGTATACAGTATCTATGATTCTCTAGTGTACTCTAGGACTTGAGAATCATAGTTTGCAGTCTTTTTTTTAATTAGGCAGGAATCAATCAGGATCTATAATAAAATATTAATTAAAAAAATTAAATGTACTTTGTTTTCACTTTATGTCTTTTAAGTAATGCAGACTTCATTCCTTTACTTTCCTGTCAGTTCTGTGCTTTACTACTATTAAGCCCCAACCATTAGAGAAATCTGTGTATCTAGTGATGAAGGTATTCAGGTATAGGATTTAACACATTGTAATTCTTGTGCCGCCTGCTGTCTGAGTTCACTGGGCTTCTTTCATTGTGCTCATTGTTCTTATCTGAGCAGACAGGTGAACATCTGACATACCAGACCCCTGCTAGTATTCACTTTAACAAATTCTTTTCACTGGCTAATACCTTGCAGGGTATATTTATCAACGGTTTGAAAGTGATGAGCACCCCTTAACATTGGAACTGATTCATCATGCACACATCATGAACGAAACTGCAACAATTGCACCCGCTATTTTACTTTTCACTCACAGTCAAACACCTGCATTGATAAGTTCACTGCATCAGCATTGTTTCCAAATCTTCACGTATAACTTTGATTTCTTGGATTATTCCAGCGTGTTTAAGATATATGGATGTGATCAGCATGCATAAATAATCACCTTGTCACCTCATAGGTCAAAGCACTGGGCCCCTGCTGCTGCTGTAGTTCAAGTGTCACTCGGGCTTTTCAGGCTTATGGCCACAGAAGCAGCAGGATCAATGCACGTGCTGCTAAATTAACAAATTGTATGCGAGAAAGGCAATAGCTCTGTCTGTGCAGCAGGAACAAAGAGGCCACCTATATACTCTTAATTAACATTATTTTCATTCCGTCTGAACCGTTGGGTCACTTTTTATCCTGCACTGCAGGAGCCTGTAACCTGCATGGGGCCTGGGTCTAGGATTTATGAGGATGTGGCATTATACATCAAACTAAGCAGTGATGATGCTCTAAGTGTCATTTTATTCCTATATGTGACCATGACAATCAATTGAATTTTGAAGCCTCTCATATTATCTTATTTTTTAAATATTTAATTGCAACAGCAAATATGTCAGAAATCGGTCAGAGGATTACAAATTAAATAATTTGAATTCCATTTTTTACATTGTGTTTGGCAGGCATGTTGTAATGGAATTACTCTAGAATGAACTCACGTCTGGCTATCGCCATGCCATTTCAAGCTCTTACAATGAATGGTTATTTTTACTACAATGCTCTTGTCAATGGAGTGAGTCATCTTATTGGATGCCTGTTAAGTTCGTGATAAGGAGCCAAAAGAAGATCCGTGGCACGCACAAAGGACCAGTCTACAGCGAGAAAAACGTTCAAAGCTTCTTCCTTTTTCTTTCACGTTACAGTCGACAAGGAGGTGTCGTATCTTCCACCAATGAAAAGACTGAACTCCTGTCAATCTGATCTCTTTCATTCCTCTCGCAGCAGGCAGTGAGCAGATAAAGCTTCGATCATATGCTTCATGCTGTTGAGAAGAAGATATATTTCTTCTTGAGGTCAAAGTGGACAAGCCACAGCTGTCGTGTGCCCAGCCAATGCACCCCTCCCTCGCAAACTAGTCTATTGATCTGGCCCTCCGAGGTTCTCAGATGCCATTCAAAATTACCTCGGTCAGATGCATCGCATGCGTCATTTTCTGTGATGAGCCTCAAGAGAGAAAACATTATCACCTGGAGTTTGGCCAAAAATTCCAACTCATTTTCAACAATAAAATGTGTTTCAACTGACACATCAAGCCATCTGCATTTCTTTGTTGTGTAAGGTTTTTAACGAGATCTGCCTGGGCCAATTTCTTTTAGTTGTTCCTCTCCAGTTAGCATCAAGCATCACAGAATAAAACAGCTCACTTCACTTTATGAACCCCAGTCAATCACTGGATGCAAAGAGGCTCCACACCAGTGCTTCCCTTTCAAATTAAGTTTCAGCAGTAATAGACCAATTGTGGTTACAGACAAAACTATACTGCAAAAGTATAAAGGGTCAATGATTGATGAGATGCAGAATGGACAATGAAAGACAGTGCCAAAAAATAAAGCCAAAACAAATGTTGAGTGTGTGTTGTAAAGTTCCGATGATATCTGTGATGTTTGAGATACACACAGTCGATCCCTCTTCAGCCTCTAGGTCTGAGGCCAAGTGGGGCTGTGGGAGATTAAAAATGAATGTTAAGCTGTCATCTGTTGTGATTAACCACAAATAGGGAAGTGAAATTTCAATTGTGCATAATACAATTTGACTCTATGGACACTAGTGGATGATTGGTGCTTATATGCTCAGCCCATAATCCAATATGAAACACATTCTGGATCATGGAAGATTCTTTTTGTCTTGTCTGTCTGTATGTTTTAAATTGGACCTAGAGTCTGTAATAACGTTGAATTGGAATGAATTGATAAAGCCGCTCCCATACTCTACAGATGGAGTGCGGACGTCACCCACAGTCTTTGCATTATTGAGGACGAAGCCGATTTGAGCTCATTCATACATGCACCATGAGCGGGAATCTGGAGCTAATTTAGTGGATAGCAACAACCTAGCAACCAAAGAGCCTATCAGGAGGAGCTGCTACCACTTGCGCTTCTTGTTAGATATGGAGGAATTTTGGGGACACAAGGCACCTAATTTTTAAGGTTCATTCCCTTGAGAGGCTTATACACTTTAGATTTATTTGGCTTGTTTAGGTAGGGATAAATACAGAAAAGATTGACATCAAAGTGCTTGAAGTTAAAGCTAATTCACAGCACATTTCTCTAGATGGGATGAAAATACATTTACAAATAAAATCAAAATATAAACACCATAATCATACAGAGCATTACACCCAGTGGGAGCTGTTGGTTGTCTGATCAGGGCTATAAGAAAGTGGGTTGCCATCTCTGCAGGTTGGCCCCACACCTGTAATTCTGACTGTGGACTATATGAGTTTCCACACTGACCAAAAACGCCTTGTTCGTTCAAAATGGTTTTGACCGTATGATGACTTTCCATGAGTCAAAAACGTCTTAACGCCTTGTTCAAAACACAGTTCCACATGCTCATCGGGTCTTGTAGTTTTATTTAGGTTGTTGACAAGCTTCTGAATGAAAAGTTTAGTTTCAAAAAGTTGCCAGATAGGTCGACTGACAAGACTGACGTTATCTGTGTGCATTGCCAGTGTGAACTAGTTATCACTGTGGAACATCCACTTGGAATTACCACCTGATGCTAAACACTGGGCTGATGCCAACTCTTCTCCTCCGCCGCCTTTTTGTCAAGACACCTAATAGGCGCCTTATAAGCGTCTTATAGGCGTCTTATAGGCGTCTTATACAGTCTATGGTTGCATCTCTTCGTCTGTCCGTCCTCCTGTACTGCACACATCTCCTGCCACGTTTATAATCTAATAAAAACTTCAGGCTAAAGATGTGATCAGTCTCATCTGAGGTCAGAGGAACATGAAGAATGAGTTCTGCCCCCTTTGAGACCAAATTTTGAAAATACTAATGCGAGAGTGAGCAGGGATCAGTTATGCGGGTGATGTCACAATGATTTTGGTGCGTCACCAGAGGCTGGAGGTGCCTTTGGTCGTCTGTAGTGTGTTCTGCAGAGTATAGCAACAGTTGGCTGTGGAGTCAGAGTGAAACCCTCTGAGATCTCCTGTTTCAACGTCTGATTTCCCAACAATAAGCACCAACACATGTGCCTGGAGTCGCTGCCTGCTTTTCTCTTGGGTTACTCTTTCCTGTCACTATATGCACCATCTCCGCCTCATGTTCCCTACAGGCTTTAAACAAACCCATTTTACCACAGTAAAAATAAACCACCTTTTTCACACTGCCCCCTTCGTAGGTTTGTCCCTTTCATTTTCTTAACCCCCTATTAAAGCTGAGAATAAATAAACCCCTTTGTCTTTATTTATTCTGTAAAGGAAGAGCTGACCACTTATTCCTTTGGGAGGCTTTAGTGCTAACATGCACACGCTTTGTAAGAACAACATCGTCTTCTGAAATGCTTTGTTTGGTAATATGTATTCCTCAACTGTTCTGGTGGGGACCTGCTTTTTTGTCGTCCAAATCGCATTTCTTGCGATGGATATACTGTATTATTGCTTTGCTTGAAATGTCATTCAGTTTGGTTGAAAACATGGACATTTCTCAATTATGGATTATTTAATATCTGGTATATAAAGTGAGAAGAATCCCCTCTCCACAGATAGTGGAAGTCAACTGCTTATTTCCAATGCAAAAACAATGATGACAAATCAATATTAAGATGAAGTGTGAATTTACCTGTGGAATTTTGGTAGCCCCTCCAGCAGGTGAGTCCACAGGAGACATTTAATACTCACTGTATAAAAAGGGAAATAAGGTATTATGGTAATGTTGAGACATTACAAATTTGTGTATTTAATCAGGTAAAACATTTTGATGGCAATGGCTTTTAAAATGGTCTATTGGCCACCAAGTAAGCCTGTCATATGTTATTGTTCCTACTTGCTGACTACAGTTTCAATAACATATAAACATGATTTAGATTCAGCTTCAGTCTACATCAGTATGATGTATTACCTGATTGGCACTTGCGAACTTTAGCTGTTAGCACTAATACTGGTAATGGTTTTGCATAATTATCCCACTTGAGACAGATCAGCTTAGTCTTTGTCCAAATTCTGCAGACATTATATTTATGTAAGATGATTGCTGTTTGATGGATAAACTATTTAGATGAGAAGACAAGCTCCTAAACGCATGCCAACATTTCTTTCCATTGCATGATATGATTGATAATGTTTTCAGTGTGTGCCATATGTTGAGATATATAGTCCCTCGATAGATTCATACAATGTTTTAGTCCTGTTTCCTGAGGTTCACATTTCTCTTTCTCTACGCTTGTCTGCTCTCACCAGCTGCCAATGTTTCAGTTCCCCCTTTTTATCATCATCATGTCTATACCATGAAAAAAGTACTTTTGTGGGGTGAGCTGTGTTGGGAACAGACACAGGCTACCTTTTGTCTTAATAAATCACTCCCAGCTTGTTTCCAGTTTGTTGGCTGCAGCAGTATTTTGGTGATAAAGAGTGGCCTCCAATTGCTTGTTTTGTTCCGAGGATCACAACCCTTTGAGTTTGTTGGGCTCAGTAAATCAACAATTAATCACTTTTTCCAGATCCAGTTGAGTGTCAGATTGAAAAGGTAGTATTTTAACCTCAACCTGCATTTAAAACACATTGGAATACCGGGACCAAGCAGAAGAACAAACTATACCTTTCCATTTCAATTCAATTTGAAGTCTGTTTGTATAGCCCTATTTCGCAACTGCAGTCGTCTCAAAGGACTATACAAAATTGTTGATTCACCAACATCCAACTAGAGAATCAAACAATTCATACGCAGGAAATACAATAATAACATAGCAGTCCAATGGCCATGAATAAACCATTTTAAATGTACATATTATGTAATTATGTTACCTGCTTTGTAACCTGTGTGTCTTCCTGAGTTCTGTTTGCAATATATGTGTATTACTTGTGTCTTGTCATTTTGTATTTTAACTTTTTGTAGTCCTTCACTCTCTGTTCTGTCATTGTCATTACCACATCATTGTTTCTGTTTTTTTCTCTTCACTCCCATTTTGGTTTAGTTTGGTATTATTTACACTGGATTTAGTTTCTGTAGTTACTCTGATTAAATTACATTTTTTGCCGTCCTGCATGTTGGGTTTGTTTCATATTGCAGTGTATTCTCTATAGTTTGTGATCTGAAAAGCTTTCATACTGAGGACACAGACCTGGGCTAAAATTGGAAAAGGGTGCTTTTAAATGCAAAGATCATGGGAACACAACCTGTCATATGCATTTACCCACAGAATTCCCAGAAGCCAGTACAGAGGGTTTATTCATGTGTGTCTTGATCAGGTTTTGAATGGAGATAGAGGGTCTGTGGGACGTCACAAAGGCTGATCCAATGAGGAACTTATTTAGGAAGGCTGAAACACTGACCACATCTGGCCAAACATCCCTTAAATCTCTTTCAGCCCAGAGAAAGAAAGCATTGTTTTGGAACAACACAAAAACCTCTTGCAACACTGCACATGTGAGTGTGCAAAAAGGAAATACTATCAATATTGCTAATAAATAATATGCTATAATGTTGTGTTCTACCTTGATCATTCTATCTTTGAAAACCTATTGGGGGGTTTATGATCTAAATTACAGCTGTAATAGTAGTAGCTAATCGTAGTAAATTAATTATATAAAAGCTGTAACTTGTTTTATTTATGTGCTTGTCTGATGCACCCTGGGAACTTTTGTAAATGTATTCCAAAGTGGTTTTACTGCAAATGGCAAATAAAATGAATCTGAATCTCCAATTTGTCAATGCATTTGTATGTAACCCTGCTGTCTGGACAACACTGACCCATGGTGAGATTGTGACATCAACACTGGAGCTAATTAAAATGCTGAGGGAAAATCCTGTGCCTCTTGAGCCCAAACACCAGAGCACCACTCTCAGTGCTGACTGATCTTTTGGGAAACCCTGAGTTTGGGTAGAAAACCACATAGATGCACCACATGAACAACTATGATAAACATTATACTATTTCATATAGAGAAAATATTGAACCATAAAATACACATTTATTACAAATGACATT